GCCCAAGAATGCGCTGTTTTTGAAATGTCAAATTATTACAGCCTAGCTGGAGGGTGATTTTTCAAGATGATGATGATGACAATCAGTGACCACCAACATTTGCTGAGTCTTTACTATCCTCTATCAACTATACTACACACTACCATACTAAACGTGCAGAGTTTTATAATATATCCTTAGTGAAAAAGTAGGTAAAAACATGTGCAGGGTGATCCCATTCATTTTTTATCATAAAAGTATAGGTTTATATACATACATCTCATACATCAGTGCATTGGGGGGAAATGTCTGAAGATATTTACAGCAAAATGTGTACAGTAATCATCTATGAGAATCGGAATAACCAATAATGTATTGTTTATTCCCTGATGGATTTACTTCCTACAATAAGTATTTATTTATAAAATAAAATAAATATTTTTATTGAATCATTATAGCAATGTATTTTTAATTTTTTTTTAAAGATTTTATTTATTTATTTGACAGAGAGAGACATAGTGAGAGAAGGAAAACAAGCAGGGGGAGTGGGAGAGGGAGAAGGAGGCTTCCCACCGAGCAGGGAGCCCAATGCGGGGCTCGATCCCAGGACCCTGGGACTATGACCCGAGCCGAAGGCAGACGCTTAACGACTGAGCCACCCAGGCGCCCCATGTATTTTTAATTTCTATAGATTGAGCAAATACATAATAAGTAAAAGCTGGTTTGAATTCAGCAGCGCTTTTAAGTAAAGAAGCTTGTAAACTTGTAAAACTTAAGAGCAAAGCTCTGGGTTGGTCTGAACTGGATTTAAATCTCAGGTTAGCAATTTACTATGTAATCGTGGGCAAGTAACAGATATTTTGGGACCTCAGGACTCTCATCTGTGAAATGGGCATAGTAATAGTATTTCCTTCTTAAGGCCAGACAAAAATGAAGTTAGAAAATATCTCTATAATACTCAGAGCAGTACCTAACATGTAATAAATAGTCAATAAATTATTTTATTGTCATAAAACATATTTATTCCTTTAGCCCAAACTTATTAAAATAAAGGTCAGCTATATACACCCTTTAAATATGATATAAAGCATTGCTGTGTAACTTTTCCTGACTCAGAAGGCTAATAATCCCCTCCCCTAGAACAATAGAACAGCTAAATTTATTGTATTTATTAAGCCACTACTACATCCTCTGCCAATTGATGATTTTCATGTATCATGCCATATGATTATTAGAACCACCTATGAATAATCCCCTATTATTACTCCCATGTCTTAGATGAGACAATGTAGAAAACTTAGAGGAGGAAGTTAGTAAATCGATGTTTCCAAATCCAAGCCCGGACTCCACAGCCTTCTCTCTTAATGGCAGGGTACCCCACCCTCACTCCCCCAAAGTCTCCAACAGGACATTGTTCATAATTAACCCCTCAATGGTCATTTGGTATTTTATGTACCATGATGCTGTGGACAGGTCTCCCTCGTTGGACAATGAGAATATCAAAGGTAGAGGCCATGACCCAGTCTTCTTCATGCCCCAGGGCTATCCAAGTGAAGCACACAGCTTTGGCAAGAGTTGTCAAAATGATTTTTTTTTTTTAAAGAATAGATCACTCCATCAGAAAACTATTATTTCAGTGAAATTCTGAATCCCTTTGCTCAGCCAGCTTTCTAACAGTAAAACAAGTAGAACTGACAGAAGATGATGGAAGACAAAAAGAAAAAAATTCATCTCTAATTTTCCACTAAGCATTGGGGTTTGTTGACAATACACTGCTCTAGTCACAGATATTAAGTTTTCCTTTGATCATGTGGAATATTTCCCTGGTACATATTGTATCCCTTAACCTCCTAACAATCTCTTAGGTGTGTTCACTCTGTCTACACCCATTGCAACCACTATGGTCAAAGGCACCTTTCTCTTGGACCATTGCGGAGACATCCCAGCTGAGGTCCTGCTTTGCTTTCTTGCCCAGAGCATTGTTTTTCAATGCACATTTAACTACTCATCTCTTCCCACAGATCTTATGAGAGATCAATCCCCTTTTGTATGCTCTGATAGCACGTTGTCTTTTATTCATAGAAGTTCTCATAATTGTACTGAATTATTAATGTTACAATTAGTTCTTTCATGTCTGACTCCCCACTATAGTATAACTTACCTGAGGGCAGGTACTGTGTCATACTTTGTTCACTTGTTTACTGCTATATCCCCAGTCTTTGTACACAGGGTGATTCAGTAGACATTTGTTGAGTAAATGAATTAAAAATACAAACCAGTAAAAACACTGAACTCTAGATGAGTTTCCATAAACAAAACCTATGAATTCCAAATTTTTTTGTTTAGGGGAATAGTGCTGTCAGGAACATCCCTCTAGAATTCTCCTTCCCAATCTGCAGGATATGGAAATGAGATAGTCAATGTCAGACTTCTCTGAGTCAAAGAGCAAATGCGTAGAAACAATATGCAATCAGTGGTATTGACGGGGAAGAAGGGGAAGGGGGGTACGTAGGCATGGATGTGCCATTGTAGAGGCTATTATGTGAGTGTTTACTTAATAATTTTAGAG